CTGCCTTTTACCATTTAATTTTTTTATACTGTAATGAAGCACAACTGACTTACAAATTGAATTCGTTAGACCGTCATATATACAAACACAATATTAGGAACTAAATGAACAAACGAACAAAGCTGTCGACAATAATACCTGCGTCCTATTTATATATGGTGTACTTCTAAACTGTCCCAATAGTTCCCCGATTTGCAACGCGAAACCCATTACCAGAGTTCGGAATTTGCACTAATCTTCTCTGAGGGACCAGAATTAGTGAGACACTGTGAATGCCCTTTTGTTTAGAAGTAGCAACTGGCGCTAAACTAAAATAACTGAAATTGGTGTTGCAAACGAACGTTATTAGAACCAATTGGTAGTAAAATACGCCCTGTTAACTTGTTATAAGTTTGCGTAAAATTCTTAGGTTCAATAAACCGTTGTCCGACCTGGGACTCCAATCTGCGACCCATTGCTTGGCAGCCTCCTTTTCTTGCGAGTCGTATGTGAAACGTATAAACCGTTCGCTGAGATATTATATCACTCTTATTAAATTTCGTTTTCTATCAAACATCAAAATCAACGCCTAATAATTTTACAAGAAAAATATTGTCTAAATTGATATGTCAGATACAAACACGAACAACGAGGAGGCTTAAGAGTCAAAATAAACAATTTTGTCTGTTTACTTTCACCTGACAGTCTTCATTTATTGTCACACTCACAGCGTGTCCTTTTAACGCAATAAAAACATGGCGCCTTCCGTATTACGTGTTTCCAAGTGATACAATCATGGATTTTATTTGAAAATATTTTCACGATAAAATACGGACTCCACAAAACTGACAGTAAAGATATAATTTTAAGGTTTTAACTAGAATTTTTAGACAGTCTTTTGAACTTAGCAATTCGATAGATTAGTATTTTTTTTAAGGGGGGAAAATCATCGAATGACTGCTCCCGCCTAGGTGAGGCGGAAGGGAGTGTCAGACTCTTACTGACTAAAAACCACCCCGTTCCTTCTCCTGCACGTCGAGCCGGAGCCCCGGTTACCCGTTACGATAGATTAGTATAGGTCGTGCATAGCTTAAATTTCTTTATGTCGCCTTAATGTACAGATAAGTACCGTGTTCCTAATTAAATCAAATTTAAAAAAAAATCTATAAAATGATTGGCGGACATAGACAAACAAACAGCGGTGTATAAATATTCCCTTTTGGTACGAAGTCCTGAAAATAATGTAGAGCAACGTCTTGCAATCTTGCTTTGGAGTGAATATCATTTTTAATTAAGATGCCAATAATAAAAGATATCCTACATGAAACTATGTAAACTCGTCTCTATCTACACATAACACTTAAGTCTAGCTATTCGATACATTCGTTCAATCTACATACGGAAGACCCGAACACGAGGAAGTTTGAATTAGTTTATGTTTAATCCTACATTCGCGTCTAATCTAGTCTGTAGTTACAGGAATTGATATTGGGAGTTGAGTATTTGTATTAACTTTGTTTTGCTTGGTAAACCTTACAATCAAAACAAAGCAGAATTACAAAGATGCAGTTTTATATTTTACCTACACGTAGGGTATATCTAGCCAAAAAAGAATCTTAAACATTCTAAACATAATAGGTACAATTGTATCCGCAAGGAAATCGTAAAAACAGGAGCAGCTAACTAATTGATTGATTTATACCTGCCAATAAGCAGATCAAACAGATTGCTTCCTACATAATGTTCACCTTGTAAGATTTCAACTATGGCATAATTCACAACGCTATTTCAAGCTTTCTGAAGTTATAAAAGAGAATCGCCAAAATATTTATGAAAGTTTTCCGTTAACACGCGGTATGTTGCGTTTGAGTAACGTCATACTGCTAGTGTTTTCCATTGTGAATATTTTTAGAATAAACTATTCCGGCTATTTAGACGTTTGGCTCTCAGAAAACAATTTTGAGAATGGAATGGAATGTGGAATTCCATGAGTGCTTGAACGGAACCACATTCAGACCAAACATGGTTCGTTAAATTTTACCGCCAGTATACATGTATAGGTAAACATAGGTAGGTGTACTGTATAGTTGTACCTCCAGTTCCTACCAGACGACTGCATTTTATCGTTCGTTGTTTCAGATGTTTTTTTTTGTAGTTGTTTTATTTAGCTATACTAAGTTATGTTCATTTGTTCATCTGTACAACACTGTGGAAGTGTAGAAATTTGGCACATCCCTGTAGAAAGTTAGAGACTTGGTAGGTACATAAATATCTTTAAATAAAAGTCCCAGTCTAGCGGCAGCGTAATGAGATTAATTCTACCTCCTTTTATTTTCTGAGGCCGCATTTCGACAAGCAATGTCTCGAATTCGGCGCCGGAAAATACTTCGTGATTGGGGAAGGAATGTCGGAGATTATGTTGCTTCATTCGGTTTTTATACATATAAGTACGTTTATAAATGGAATGAGAGGTTTGGTAGGAAATTATTTGGTGTTTACCTAATTATTATAGGTTGGAAGAAAGGCGTGATGCATATGTTTGATCATAAGTAATAAAAGAGATTGGTTTAGTTAAACATTAATAAAAGTAAATAAAATTTCTAAAAGTTAGAACCTATGTAGGTACTAACACAATTAGGTACTTTGGGTTACAATCACGATAAAAATATCTCCCTGCAAAAATAGAATTTTATTTTGTAGCCTCAAACTCAAAAGAGTGAATATTGGGATTAAAAGAACTTTACCCACTTTAAGTCAGCAATTTCACTTCATAATGTATTTCATTGGTTCCCAACTGTGGGATTTCTATACCATTTAATACCTAGGTTTATTTTTATAACTTCTTTACGACGCAGTAAAAAGTGTGAGACCATTTTAAATTGAAGCGTAAATCCTTATGAACGTTGGTGTGGTAAAGGTCTTCACGTTTTTCCGCGGTGAATTACGGCGGTTGTTTCCATTTACTGCTAATCCTGTATACTTATTTTGCTTTAAAATAGAATTTTAATTTCTAGGTCACAATTTTTTGGCAGCAAGGCTTTTTAGGTTAGGTACTTTTTTCTTTCAGGTGTTTTTTTCGGCCAAGGTAAGTCGGAAAAAATAGGAGATGTTTTATACGATTACTTCAAAAAGTGCCCCTTACCTTTGAACCAATTCTAAATTATCTCATTGGTTTTACTAATAAGGGTACCTTATTAACATGTAGCAGGTTAAGTATGTCCTGGTTTCGTATTTATCTGACGATTCTTTTTTGACTTTCAAATTCTGAAAGTTCTATTAAATTAACTTACCCATATACTATGTAGCTAGGAAGTTAGTATAAGTATTAATACTTAGTAAAGATAAACACACGCTAGATACTACATTTATAATATCTAATAATTTATTTTTAAAACAAACTAACTTAAATATAGATTTTATTAAATTAAAATTAGATAGGATTTAAAATAGATATTTTAATGAATACCTCCTCTAAAGACTATAGAGGTATAGGTCAGTAAGACCTTTAGCCTCTAGAGCTTTTTTTAGGTATAAATGTATTTATTTTATTTATTTATTTATGTACACACATACAACATAAAGGACAACACATATATAAAAGACTGCACGGTTGGCGCGGTGGCTAGGCAACTAACTGCCGAGCAGCGTGTCGCGGGTTCGATTCCCGCACGGAGCAACTCTTTGTGTGATCCACATATTGTTGTTCCGGGTCTGAGTGTCATGCGTATGTGAACTTGTATGTTTGTAAACGCACCTACGACACAGGATAAAATCCTAGTGTAGGGCAACGTTGTTTAAAACACAAAAAAAAAAGTTTCAAGTGCCAAGGTACCACCTATTCCTATTGGAATTTCTTCCTGTGGATCTGTGGCAGGAAAAGTAATAGTAATGATGTAATGACACAGTGTGTAATAACGAATAGAAAATTGAGATAGAAAACAGACTTAAAACCTTTAGCCTTTTTCTAGGTTTGTAGGGGATATAGCTTCAGTAGGTACACATCTCGTGACTCTTGTGGCTGATAAAGATAGGTAAGGTATGATGTTTATGATGATAATGACTACCTACGGTTTTTTAAACCATTTTTCAAGGAAAAAATCCTACTAACACTTTTTCAATCTGGACATCGTGTAAAATGAATTCCGTGAAAAGCAAAATAAATTGAATATTTATTGTTCCAGCATGTCAGACATTCATAATATTTTAACGGACGCCAGGTGCAACATTCAACTGCCCACGCAAAATTGTATTAACAAAGATATATTATGAATCTATCACATGCAGAAAGTGTTTAACACGTTAGGCATACATAAAAAAATATTTTGTAGGTACATTTTTATACCTACAGAATGTTTAAAAATTTTATTTATCAAAATATACTTATTTTTTTTAGTTTATTGCATAACTAAGCAATCCAAAAGTAGAACATGAGTGTGAAGCCATCTCCCTCCGAGTCGTGTCTGCGCATTTTTACAGAAGCATGGGCTTTTCCTAAAGAAATATTACATATTTATAATATATGTATATTATTTACATACCAACCATATCCATGACACCTAGAGAAGAAACAATGCATTTCGGATAACAAAAAATATGTTTTTCGTGTCATATTCGAACCTGTAACACGTTAAGCAGTAGCCGGTTGCTCAGCCTCTGCGCTACCAAATGATCATATTTTAATTGTAAGGGTTAGGCATTCATTCATCATTACTGATAACCAAGTACTGTAATTACATTTGATAGAAACAATTTTTGAGACTGAAATCGTATTAATATTTTATTCAAATAAAGTTATTTTATTCTTCTTTGAACTTGTAAATTAGAAAAATAAAATATTATATGGCAACTTTCACATTAGTATGTCAAAATTGTCAAATTGACAATAAATGATAATTTTAATTTGACATTGACAAGTTAAACCAACGCGACGCGAAGCAACGCTACGAAAATAATAAATTTCGTTTTGTTAGTGATAAAAATAGTAATATAATTCGTGTTTGATTGTTTCAAACAAACTCAAAATGGTGAAACTAACAACAGAGTTGATTCAAAACTCTATGCAGTACATGAATCCATGTCGAGATCGAGAGTTAGATCTTAGAGGTTAGTTACTGTCGGATAGCGTAATCAATCTTTTGGCAATAAATATACTTCTACCTAATAAAAACACAATGTAAAATGTATCAACTTTTATAAATTCCCATGTTTACAACTCACCATGAAACCTTTTACTGTATAATTTTTAAAGTATTTCTAATCCTCATCTTCCCGCCTCTATTTGCAGGTTACAAAATACCGCAAATTGAAAACATGGGTGCGACGTTAGATCAGTTCGACACCATTGACTTCTCAGACAACGATATCAGGAAACTTGATGGATTTCCATTGTTGAAAAGAATCAAATGCCTGTTATTGAATAACAACAGAATTGTGTAAGTATGATAGCTAACTTGTTACATCTTCTTAATAATAGCACTGCACATCCGGATCTGTACCTTATTTCCTGCATGGAATGATGAATATCCACTGAGTCAGTAAACCTGCCTGAGCCTTTACTATAGATCTGTAATGTATGATCTGTAATAATTGATTGTATATTATCAACAGCAAGGTCTGACGGGTATATCTGTTCAGTGAATTCTCTGCTATAAGTACAAATAATTAGATGTTTCATAAATTTTCTTTAATAAATAAATGTTACAGGAGGATTGGTGAAAATTTAGAGCAATACATACCTAACTTAGAAAGCTTAATATTGACCAACAACAATATTACAGAATTAGGTGACTTGGACCCTCTAACGACACTGCCCAAACTGAGAACACTGTCTTTAATGCACAACCCAGTATCAAACAAACAGCATTATAGGTAAATATTATATTGAAATCGATAGACCAATATTTATATAGAAATTTGATTTATCTTATAAATTGCATATTTTTCAGAGCATATGTGGCATTCAAATTCCCAGAGCTCAGATTGTTAGATTTTAGAAAAATTAAACAAAAAGAGAGAGATGAAGCTAATGCTTTGTTTAAAAGTAAAAAAGGAAAAGAGATGCAGAAGGAAATTACGAGGAAAGCCAAGACATTTGTGCCTGGAGGCAATATGCCTGATCCTAAAGTTACAAGTAAGTTATAAATTCATACCTAGCTGCTGATTCATAATTATGTTAATTACAATTAATAATCACTAATAAATTAGTTAATTTAGACTTCATTATAATTTTGCTTAATTCATTTGCGTATTTTAGATCTTACACCACAAGAAATCCACAAGATTCGTGAAGCCATCAAGAATGCTTCATCTCTACAAGAGGTAGAAAGGCTGACAAGGATGCTGCAATCTGGCCAGATACCTGGACAGAAACCACTACAACCTCAAACTCAGGGCAATGGCCAACGTAAGATTTGCTTTCCTATTTTATTATTTTGTTCTATTTTTAACCAGTGAGACAATTTTTTTTTCTTTAGTGTCTTATTTACCTGTCAAGTGGTTTATTAATTCCTTTTAACTCTGTCCAAAAAACATAAGTTTTTGGAAGTGCAGCTGCTGGTATTTTCTTATTGACAGAAGTGCACATAATCTGTTTTCGTGCCTGATGTAAATATGCCATATATTGCCATAACCCCCAAACTGGTGATTATCACATAACTGGTGTAAATTGGAGTGGTCAATAGATTTCACAAGTAGTACCGTGTAAGGTATGTGGTGTCATTCATTCTGTATTTTATTTGGTTACAGAAGATGAAGAAGAGGAAATGGAGACTGATCAACAAAACGGCCAGTAAGAAGGTTACCTAAAAAGATGGCTGTAAAGAACAGATATTACAGAAACTTTCTTTTCTTTTTTTTAAATTAATCATAGAAGTGTGATTTATGATTATGTTAAGGTGATAAGAACAGTGTTCATTCTACACTATCATTTAATTATATTTAGCTATTAAGATGGATACTACACAAAAACCAGGGTTACTAAGCAAAAGAACAGATACTATACAAGCAATCAAACCAAACTAAGTTTGATTTGAAGGTTCAAGGTACAAAATGTTGAGATGGCAATTTCATCTTTCCGATGTTACCTGAAAAGAACTCCATACTACAACTGTTTTTTTTCCTTATTTCAAATAAAACAAAGATTCCATATTTAGTTTTTGTTTCATTATATTACAATCATCTTAATTACATATCCATAAAATGTCTTGCTTTTAAAAATAATAGTTCATCATTGCCAGCATCTAAATAAACAGTGTAAATATCAGGCAGTAATACCATTCGTCCCATTAGTTCTTTGATAGAAGGTCTTTTGTCTGGTAGGACTGACAGCATTGAGTCTACAAGGTCCTGCATGCCTCTGTCATATATTGTCAAATCAATTGGGTGAACATTTCCACTTGTGATTGCTTTTACTAGTCCCACTAGTGTCTGAAATGTATAATAAAGCGTGGTTTATTATAATCATAAAATATCTAAGGTAAAGAAGACGAAACAGTTCATAGTTAGGTCCTTTATATCATAATCAAGACAAGAAACACATTAGTACACTACGTTAGTGAACAAAACGCTTTCTGGTTTAGAGAAAGGAGTGGACGTGGAAAAAATACAGGAAAAACTATTAATGGGTTGAAATCCATAGTAAATTCATAAATAAAATGCTTTTTGAAGAAATATTTTAAATCATTTATTAATTATAAAAACCCTATCTGAGAATTCGTTGTAGGTATCTAGTAATGCATCCATGTCCGGCGAATGCGCCACTTTGGGCGGCGTCAACGTATGTTTACGTAGTAAGTACGTTTATAAACATAAACTTAAGGCTGGTATGCACATAAGTGTAACCGCACTGACCGCTCAGGTCCTTTTTTGTTTATTATTGCATAAGCTGGAAAACGAGCAGACGGATCACCTAATGGTAAGCAATCAGGTGATCCGGCCTATGGACACCCGGAACACCTGAGGCGTTACAAGTGCGTTACCGGCCTTGGGAAATAGGACTGAGGATCGTTGGGAAAAGGGAGGGTAATTGGGCGTCCGGTAACCTCACTCACACGACGAAACACAACGCAAGTGTTGTTTTACGTCGGTTTTCTATGAGGCCGTGGTATCACTCCGGTCGAGCCGGTCCATTCGTGCCGAAGCATGGCTCTCCCACACTTCTTTTATGAACTGGATTAATTCTCTTTTGACAAGGCACTTGCATGCTTCCGAATAGACAGATTGGGGTCAGAATCATCACCATCAGGTTGCTTGACCTGTCGCTGTTGCACGTTATTTTCCGTTATAACTAAGTTTGGGCTTAGGTGTTCAGTTTTTTTCTTATCTTCTGTTGAACCGGTCTCCTCAAACGTTTTCACCCATTTCTGTATAGTTTGTATGCTTGGGGCCTGGTATAAATTACGATGTCCTCTAATATTACAGAATCTTTTTCGCGCTATAATCGCCGAACTACCATTTTTGTAAAATTCCCGTATACATAACGCGCGATCCGCTGGCGAAAAACTCTGTGTGTATATCTTAGGGTCTTTCACGTTTGTGGGCTGCCCCGATCGACCACGTGGTGTTTCTTCTTCATCCGTCTCATTGGCTTCTTCTACATCACTATCCATAGTATCAGTGTCGCTCTCGCTATCTTCCAAGTAGGATAACAAAGTTAGAAGTTCCAAATCACTATCATCACTGTCACTAAACATGGAAAATGCCATTTCATTAAGTCTCGTTGTGTTGTGTGTTCACAAAATCACAAAGTACACTAAAGCTATATTAATCAATCCTGAGCTTCCCACGACTGTACTCGCATTCAGCGCTGAACTATTGTTACTATTTTTTGTTAACACAACCCTTACAGGTTGAACAAAACGTCAAACAAAATCTCGGGGGATCGTGGGAGTGGTTGTTCAAAATAATCCACAAACTGACGTTTTCAAACTAAAAAAAAAATTGCAAATAATAAGAGAGGTCAGCATATTGGGCCAACGTATTGGGTCTGGGTCATCACGTTGGGCCAACGTGGATAGGATTACTTTCCGCTATGTTGGTAGTTGGCGCCAACGATGGCCAACGGCCGGACAACCGAATGTTGTCGTCTATTCGTGCGCACATCAAAAGATCTTGGCGCGCTCCACAAATGGCGTTCACAGATTGACGTCTCATTCAGTTTGTTGTCATTCCTCAATAAAGATGAAGAATCGCGCGACAGTTTTGTTGTTGAATTACAATGGCGTGGACAAACACTGAGATTTTACATTTTATTAAAATGTACAGAAAGGAAATTTATCATTCACTACTTATATTGGCCCAATGTGTAATACCGCCTTTATTAACATAATTAAATACGGCTTTGTAATACCTACAGATTGTCCGAGGCGAGGATTCGATACGGAACAATTTGTGAATTTCATAATTATACATACCTAATATTGTTATTTAAACTATTTGTTCGATTGTAACGCACGTAAAACAAAGGAGAAAATTATAGAGGCGGATCAAACACTTAATAAATAAACTTACCTCAGCGTCAAAAGCCCTCTTGTGAGTGCACATTTCATAAAGCAAGCACCCTAGAGCCCAAACATCGCTTTTGTTACAATAAGGTTTGCCTTCACATAATTCTGGAGCCAGATAATAAGGAGTTCCTATTACAGTCGATGTCTTCTTGGCACTGAGAAAAAGTTATTATGTATTGAACTTACACATAACATATGTGTAAGTTCATTATGTATTGAACTTAGTAATAGGTACTTAAATAGTGTTCACTGCCTCGGTCGGGTTATTTCAAGTCAAGTGTAACTGCTAAGTAGGTCTCGGGTAGGGTCGGGTAAAGATGTATTATGGTTATTTCGAAAATATTTCAGTAATAGCATCAAGTCTGAAACTGTTAGGTATATGGAAATTCACATACACAAATTACAAAGCAAGATAACTAGCGAGTGTTGCAAGGAATGTGTGCACTTCTGCTTGCAACATCGGTGATTAAGTAGCGTGATGATAGAATACTTAGGGCCGATTTTTCCAAAGCCATTAAAATTTTACTAGAGAAATAACTTTGAATATTTAACAATTCCTCCATACGAAAAACCCTTAGATGTCAAAAATAGTTACTTATATTACACTTACCTTGCTAATATTTTGGAAATGCCAAAATCGCCTATCTTTACCAAAACACCATTTTTACCAGTCAATAGGATATTGTCTGCTTTTAAATCTCTGTGAATTATCTTCTGACTGTGGATGTAGTTTACTCCCAACAAAATTTGGCAGAAATAGAAAAGTATTTCCTGAAATGTTCAACCAACAGAATAGGTACTCAATTTTGCAATTACCTAGCAAATAAATAAGAGGAATAACTTTTTCATCGAGCCTCGTCGCATACGTGCTAACTGATTGAATACAATAACTCGTAGCAAGCAAGTCTATGACTTGCAAAGAACGGAAAAATTTCTAGAGATTCTTGATCTTGCTTCGAAAGTCTACGTCATAACTTAAAAAATAAGTTCATAAAACATAATATTCACCTGTTGTTGCAATAGTTTTGGATATCTATGATACATGTATTCCGATAGATTCCCGCTAGTGGCGTATTCCATGGATATCATTGCATGATTGCCATTGTAATAACAATCGTAAAACTTGATAATGTTCGAATGACTCAACGAAGATAAAATCTTTATTTCATTTGCTATGTCCTGAAATAATAAAACAATATCAACATGAAGATCTATACCTATAATATGGTAGATAAGTACCTACATGTACGCTTAGGTATGGAATAAGATTAGATCCAAATAGGAGTTAGGTAATAGGTACACTATTTATTTGGACGGGCTTTTTCAGGAACAAAGTACCTACGACATAAAAAACTTATCTAAGTTAATCTAATTACCTACTCACTTGTTTATGATCCTGGAGTTTTATGTTTAATTCAATGTCCTTCACAATTGTTAATTCAGCAGTATCGCGTTTTTCACATAAATATACATTTCTGGAAACAATTGGAAAACAGGATTTAATGTATACCAACAGCTAGAAATCTACTGAAACCAAATATATTAAATTAGATTGTACGTACCCATAAGTTCCTTTCCCGACAGTCTTCAAAACATTTAAATTGTGGCTTTTAAATCTTTTCGTAACGCAATCCATTTTATATTGTTTGATTTTGAATTATGAGTATTAATTATGAATTTCAGTTATTCAAGTCATCACGTAGCGTAGGTCCACAGGATACATTATAACTTACGTAGGTCCATCATTTGTGAAGATTAAATTTGTAAGACTATGTACTTATTTACAGGTACCGACGGAAAAATAGTTAATCAAAATACCCGCTTTTATTGATTACACTTAACGCTACCACAGATTATAATAGTTGATCGATCATCGTAGTTCTAGTGTTCCAATGACAAAATAATAGTAAAATTGTTAAAAATACGTAGGTATGCTTACATACAAGTATGTATTAATTATTCATTTATTTATATTCGTTTTGGCTTGAATTGTATTTTAGTTATTTATTTTCATACAATCGATATTTTACATGTCAAAATCAGGGTTTCCATCTGCATGGATCAATTTTACCCACCGATGTCTCGCCCTGACATTATTATTGTTTCCAAATAAATTCACATTACATGAATACTAAACTTTAGTGATCATGTATAATATAAACATAATAAAAATATCAAATATCATTGAACATCAACTAAAATAAATGTCTATATTGGCTAAAAAGTCTATCTTAAATCCACAACAAATACAAAGAAGTTTCTTGCACTTGTAACACTGTAACACCTTCCGAAATAGAGTAGAAATAATTTCTACTTATCTCAGCTGGCTTTTAAAATAAATAAAGGCCCGAAGTTATTAAAGGCCGTAATATTAGTTGATTGAATAGAAAAACACCAAGTCGCAAAGATGGGTCAAATGATGGGATCTTACGATGCCCGTAAAGTTGATCTTTACATGGATGATAAACCAACTTTTGACCCCCAAGCAGGATTTAATTATCAGAGAAAACCAAGAGGTAATAATCACAATTAATATAAATCCACTATTCTTCTCAATTCTTAAAGTGTTATGTGTTTTCTATTACATTTGAACGTAAGTTACATAATTTCTGTTAAGGTTATGTTGTGGCCAAAACAAACTTTTTATAAACCTTCTCAACGAAGTATTAGCCAACTTATGACGTTGTAAACTCATTTCTAAAGCTTCTCTCTGTCATTAATATCAATTTCTAATTGGATACTTATCAGAAAATATGATTTTTAAGTGTTGCTCATGAACATAAACAGGAGAAAATTTCCAATAAATTATTACAAGTCTTTCTTTTTCCAGAAATGATTGCTCGTGAAGAAGATCTAATTTCAGCTAAGATACCAGTAAAGCATCGTGACTATTGTGCTCATTACTTGTTGGATTATCAAACCTGTCGTTATAAAAACATGCCATTGCTCTATAAGTGCGCTCATGAGAAACATGCCTTTTTGACCTGTGAAAAGGATGAGTATGTTGTACATTTATTTATTTCTTCTTCACAAAATACTGAAACGTTACTCAATTTTAAGTCATGCTTAATGCATATTGTGCCATCTCTGTCATTTTACAAAGAATATGTAGTGACAGAACTACACTTAACTCGTCGAGTACCGGTTTTATAGACACAATTAAAGAACAATAGGTTGCGGTCACCGGTGACCGCTTGGTGTTTGACAGATTAAGCACGACTTCAAATTGAGTAGCATTTGAGTATTCCGACATTAATGCCTTAAGGCATTTAGCATTATAATTAACTTAATAACTTATGTTTCCCTAATAATAACATGATAAGTGAAAAAATGCAGCTATTACTTACCATTTTTGTTTTTCCTTTTATTTAACCTACATCAAACTTACTAATTGAGGCATCTTTTGTTATCATGATTAATCCTTCCACACAATGCATTTTTATTTTAAAATGAATAATGTATTATGTGTTATGTGTATAATAATGATCTAAAAAGATAATATTCTGGAGCCCTCGTTCAACCTTTTAACTCGTCGAGTACCGGTTTTATAGACACAATTAAAGAACAATAGGTCGCGGTCACCGGTGACCGCTTGGTGTTTGACAGATTAATGACTTTATTATTTTGATGACTCCCATCATGTCGGCTATTTTATGGTCACTAATGTCTATATTTATTTGTTTTTTAAAGGAAGTTGACTTGTCTAGAGATAAAAACTCTTTTTCAATTAATTATTTCATGAAAGTAGAATTTTTTGGACCAAGAATAGAAAATGTGTATGTTTAGGGCATGCCTTATCATGATACCTAATGACTTATTATATTGTTTCAGTTATGTGCTCCGCATGAAGGAATTTGAGCGTGAACGGCGTCTCAGATTACGCGAAAAGCGTATTGTTGGTGTTGCATAAATAAAATGTTTCTATCTTGTTCAGTAGATAAATTGTGTTGCTATGAATACTGTGTAAATAGAATATATAAAACAACTTTGTTATTTGTTTATAAGCCCCTTTTTTTCTTAATAATAATTTATAAATATCAATGAAATTAATTATTGTAAATTATTTATTTATCTCGTATTCTGAGTGGGCATTATAGAATATTTATACTGCTACATCGCCAATTCTTTCAGTAGAAGTCATCCTATTTCTATTCTGCAACTGATGATGACATACCTATACACTTTATTTAGATGGGTAGGTATTACAAACAACCGTGTCTACAAAATAATAGGGCTCTGTCACACCCCTAAATTGATAACATTTATACCTGCCTTGACTTTGCCCTCCTCTGAAAGATATTAGAATTGTAATAAAGGTCAATTGTAATTTGTACTAAACGTAACTAATAATAATTCCTTGTCTCATAGGTAGTCGTTGTAAGGACGCCTGTGTAATATATTAGTACAGATTGTGTGACAATCTATACTAATATATTACAACGCAGAAAAGTAAAAAATGTTTCGAATTGAATAATTATTTTTGTTGGATATACATAAACATTTTTAGTATGTTTTTCTAACGTTTTCTCAATAATAGTTTCAAAGCTGCGATCTCCTGGACCACACCTTTTATCCACCTTCTGGGACTTTATGCCACTCCATAGACTACAAAATTAAATATGTCAACCCTGTGAAGAAAATCAATAATGTTGCCATCAATCAAAAACATTTGCTGTTACAATTTTTAACGCATTGTTTTGGTACAACAAGGATGCATTTTCAATGGCAAGAGCGAGATGCTGTAATGAAAGTTACACAGACATTCGGCACAAGAGAATTTGCAATTAAACACTTTAATAGTCGTCGCTAATAAAGTCTTCGTGACGTTTTGTGACGCATCGCCCATCCACAATTTTTGTAAACACGCTTGTCGAATACACAAATTCTATACGAATAGTTGAATAGGCTATTTATTGCGGAAGTAATGGCTTCCTAAATTTTAATTGCAGACATTATTTTATTAACGATAATTAAAATCAAATATGACGAGAGTTGTATTTTTTAATCTGATCGGGAGCGCTATGTGAATAATTGTGTCATCCGGCTTATTCCCATGGATATATAAGCCGCGTCCTGTAAAAGTGCTACAAAGAGCAATCCTGAAAAAGATTGTTTGTGTGTAAGAAAATAAATTTCCATTTATGAAATAAGCTTGTGATCATAACAAAAATACAGTGTTTTCAAGATTTCATTGAATGAAATAAGGCGTGAAAATGATGACTTGCGATAGGTTTTAGTGAATCTGAGATATTAGAAATTAGTTTATTGTCATGGATGATGCCGGCGGCACGAGTTCAGTGAAGAATAGAATGAAGGGCAAGGTACAAGATGAGGAGGAAGAGTCGGACGAGGAGGTGGTGGATAGTGAGGATGATGACGAAACCATCGCCAGGATACAGCGAGCTCATTTCGCTCAGGCAGCTGCTATGAACGCTCGAAGGCGCGCGGCACCTCGTCCCAGGCCAATGAGCCACAAACGGAAGATGGAAGCTGTTAAAAACTTTCATGACTTCACAAAGAAACTTAAAAAGGACACTGGTATAACAATTCGAAGCATAGTTGGTAATAACATCTTAGAATTAAGTGACTTTTCAAGTGAAGACAGTAAAACAGAAAGTGATGGACTGTCAGAGGAGGAATTTGTAGTTAACCCTAGTGCTGTACAAGAATTGAATGAAGAAAATGAAAGTTTCATTGACCCCGAAACTGGTGACATTGTTGAGGCTAAAAGAGATTCTCAAAGTACTTGTAAACCTCCGGAAGAACCTCTGGCATGTATGGAACCTGAGGTTAAACAAGAAGAGCAGGAGCCACAAGAACAGCAAGATCAGGAACAAGAAGAGGAGGAAGTACAACCTAAAACTCTTTCAATTAGTGACATTATTAATGATGGTGACTTAGATAATAAGAATGTAGAAATAGCAGAAGTGGAGGAGAGTGAATTATGTCCGGAGAAGACAGCTGAAGAGTTGTTGGGAATGAAACAGGAGGACAGCAGTCAGGATTTCGATATTACAGAAAAATTGAAAGAAATGGGAGAGATTAGTGTCAAACCTATTGTTAAGAAGGAAGATGAGAGTGAGGAATCACCCAAAGATGATGAAACTAAGACAGAAGGTGAAGACGAGGTAAGTTCTCTTTGATATTTCTTGATTATATTGCTTTGCACAACAATAGAACTATTCTTAGTACATTTGTAAATCAGGTCAATACTAAATCGAAACATAAAAGCCAGGTTTACTATTATTTGTGTTAGCTGTGATAAAATGTATTGAAAGTAATATACGGTGTGTTTGGTTATAACTTTTACTGTTAAATACACATTTGATCTGATGCCAACAATTGAATTAACAGAAACCATGTTTCTTATTAGGTTTTGTTTACTAACAAATAGTAATAATTTTGAAATACAATTTCAGTAGTGTATTATTATTGAATTGTTTATGTTATCATTAGTGTTGACATTCACACAAATTACCTATTAGATTAACTTATGCCTACTGTTACAGTGGCATTGATGTTGATTAATATGACAATTTTTATCAATATATAATCTAAGCAGTATTTTTGAATGAGGATACTTCTCACCCTTAATTATTAACTTTATAAAGGTTGACTATCTATTAGAATTCTGAT